CACATCTTATAACAGCCTCCTTTGTAAAGCTAAACAAATATTTGCCTCTGCCTGCAAAGCTGAGTCTCGGAACTAGCTTTTACACATATATTTATATGCATCTGCACCTCTGCTGCTCACATTAGTGGCTGTGGCAACATCCTAACTGGGCTCTTGGGTCCATGGCAGGCAGGATGCAGTGACAGTCCTCGTGTATCCAGGAGCCTGATGTCCTCAGGTGTCCTTTGTGAAGTTTCACAACCAGAGACAACTGTGCAGAACTGGGACTTCATCACCTCCAGGGAGGTTGCCTGGGGTAGGTTCTAGATGTTTTTAATATTCAAGCATAGGTAAAAAACTATGCCCAATTTCTATTCACATCTTTGAAAACTAGATACAAGGAACATTCTGGAGCACATATAAAATGATAACCAAGTAAGATTTAATAATAAACCAATGTTTAACATGCGTTTAATGAGAAAATACTGCAGGGAAGTAAAAGAAACCTATATTGAACGACGAGGGACTCTTTCCTGTGGTCCAGTTTTCTACTTTCTACCCATGAACTTGAGCAATTTACAAGATCTTTCCAGACTACCATCTCTGCGTGTACAAGGTAGTATATGCAGAGACTAAAGACAGTACATGCATAGACTCTAGACCGCTACTGGGTCTGGAGTGTTTTTGTTGTTGTTGTTTTAAAAAGTTTTCATACATGTTCTCTGTATTTGTTTGCTAAGACTGCCATAGCAAAACACTACAAATGAGGTGACCTAAACAGAAATGTGTTGTGTCACAGTTTTGGAGTCTCAAAGTCTGAGATCAAGTTGTTAGCAGGGTTGGTTCCTCCTCAGGGTTATGAGGGAATGATCTGTTCCATGTCTCTCTGGTGGGTACCAGCCCCAACCCTGTTCCTGGGTGCTCCAAGCCCCATTGGTGACAAGGAATTGAGAAAGGACATAAAGACAAAGAACAGAAATGGAGTTCAAAAGGTGAGTCCAGGGGACCAAGGTAAAGTGGGAGGACCACGCTTGCCCCGAGTTCTGGCTTCCACAGGTTTTTATTAGGTGCACACACTTGCTAATTGAGGGGTGGAAAGCAAGGGGGTGTTATGGGGGAGGCCTTGAAACTATTGGGGGAGGCCTTGAAACTATTATGGGACAAGATAGCCAGGGGGAGAAGCATGCATCATTAGAATGCAATGAAACAGGTCGTTCTTCTAAGAGAGGCTAATCTAGTACACCGGGTTTTACCACTGATCATTAGCAGTATGCAGCTGCACCCAAACACAGCAGGTAGGGAGCCACCAGGTCTGACCACACACAATGCATCAAGGGGCTTTTATCTCCCGAGCACTGTGGACAGAGGGCAACTGAGATTACCCCATATTCTGAGAACCTAGGCAGAGCAGGAGGTGTTCCACTATCTCTGCCCACAAGGCCTTTCTGCCTTATCAACTCCTGTCTGCAAAGACCCTCCCGGATCTTGTGAGCAGAGGTCACTGACCTTTCCTGGGTGCCTACACAAGCCCTCTTTACGAGAACCCTGCACAGACTCCACGTTGGAAAGGATTTCGTGGGACGGAGGCAATGTTTTCCTGCTTTGCAACCACACCACAGATGTGCCACAGTTAATGGGGCGTTCTCAGATGGTCTCACGTTAGGTTTCCCATTACCGCTTTTGCTGTTCTCTTTTGTGCTGTGCTTTTCATTCACTATTGTTGATTTCAGGGTATAAACTTCAGTGTACCGCAAACTTTGTAAGCTAATAAGCAGATCAAACTTATATTTGTTTAACCAGCAATAGTAGAGACAGCATATGTCTGTCCCTGACCATCTGAGCCCACACCTCTCACCTACCTTCTGGTGGTTTGCTGTCAATTTTTGGTATTTCTTGGCTTGTAAATGCAGTACCCTCATCCCTGATTTCATTTTCACAGGGAGTGCTCCCCGTTTGCATTCTTCCTCTGTGTCTCAGTTTTCCCTTTTTATAAGGACACAGTCATATTGGGTCAGGGCCAACCCTAATGACCTCATCTTAAGTCGATCACATATAAAGACCTGCTAAAAAGTAAACTGAGGCACAATATAGTTTTAAAGATGAGCAAACAGCAATTCATGACTCAGGCAACTTTAAACTAGAAGAGGTTCAGGAGCTCCACCAGGGGAACACAAGGGATGGAGAGGTTGTACAGGATCAACATAGATGTAAAGCAAAGAAAATAGTTGATTGGTTACAGTTATACAGTTGCCTTATTTGGTCTATCCCATTGGAAAGCTTCTAAGTCACTGAACTTATGTACTGTTTTTATTTAACATAGGTATTTACAAAAAGTTGCTGAAGTTTTGCCTCTGTTTGTAAACCAAGCAAGGTTAAGGTCACTTATGAGACCTAATTGGCTTTGTCTGCAATGGGATTCTTCAGGTCTGGTCTCTATTTGCATTTACTTTAACACTCTCAAGTTTTAAATAGGTCATACTTACAGGTACTGGGGGTTAGGACTTAAATTTCTTTTGTGGGGACACAACCCAACCCATAACAGTTTCTGACCCCAATTCTTGAGGGGCAGCTCTCAGACTGACCTCCTTCTCTCTGCCATTGGCCCATTATTGATCTCTCCCAAGAAATCCATAAGGGGTCAATGGCAGAGAGAAGGAGGGATCCTGCTCTGCAGAATCCTTCTCTGCAGATCCGTCTCTGTAGGAAGGCAGCAGAGCTCACTCTGGAAAGACAGAAGAGTTCAGTTCTTTCTCGCTGTATAACACAAGACAAGTCACTTTATCTCAACAAGCTTTTATCTCCTCTTCTATAAGATGGGATCATAGGTTTGCTGACAGAAGTCAGTGAGATAAAGCAAATAATTACTTGGCTAGGATATGGTAAGTGCTTAACAAATTATGGATGTTATTATTTATTCCTTTTGAGTCAAGGAGAGGATGGGTCAGTGATTCCTAAGCCTGAATGCACCTTAGAATCATCTGACGGAACTTTTTAAAAAGTGCCTAGGCCCCAATACAGATTCTGACTCAATTGGTCTAGGATGGAGTCCAGGCACTAATATTTTTTGAAGCTCCCTGGTTTAATATGCAGCCAGGGTTGAGAACTGCTAGAATAGATGACAGGATTGAAAACACGAATGGAAAGTCTCAATGCGGTGGAATGTCAGAGGCTGATTTATAGTTACTTAACAAGATAGCCCATGTCGTGGGGGATGTATGACGGCAAGAGCCAGAGACAGCTCTTGGAAAACCTGTGAATTAGGTGACCTAGTTTTCAGTACCATTGCTTGCTTTGTGGTCTCCCTGTGACATTTTCTCCGGGCCTCCCTGATGAGGAAACATCCCCCACTGACATAGTGCTCTGGGCTTTCCTTCCCACAGCAAAACCCCATCCACTTGCTCGCCCTCCAAACCCAGGTCCATCCTCTCCCCAGCTCCAGCTCCAGGGTTTGGAAGAAAATCCTCAGTTACTAAGAACAGTTTGATGTACTTCCATTCCCAGGGACATCTGCCTTTTAATGGTGGACATGACAGAACTCAAGAATCCTCCAGTGAGGAAGGTCTGGATGCTCAAGAGTAGACATGTGGCATGGAGATGGCTGAGTGTTTTATGCCCTACTAGGTGGGAACTGATTGCTTGGACAGAACATGACTCCTAAGGCCCTGCACTGTGGCCTGGAGAGCTTTTAGTTCACAGAGTAACTCTCTCCTTCCATCCCCAGCACCAAACCCTTTTCATGTATAAATGTGGACTCTGGAAGTGGCTGTTCTGGCAGCTGCAGCAGGGGCCAGGCTAGCTTTTGCAGTTCTGGGAACTTCTAGAGATGGCTCTTGGTTCTCAGGCCCTTGGCTGAGCGACGGGGGCAGCTGTCAGCAGCTCCCTCTCCTCTCCTCTTTCTGCAGCTGCTCTGACTCTTCATCAGCAGGCTGAGCTTCTCCAAGCCTCAGTTTCCCACAGTGCCGCCTCATCCCCTTCTCGTCAGACCCTTGCCACCGGTGCTCTTAACAGTTCTGAGTCTCTTTTGTCCTCACGAGAGAAGGCCAGTGACTTTTTCTTAAGTGAGTGAATGAGTAATATAAATAAAATTGTATGTAAATAGAAGCAATTTTTAATGACAAAACTGTTTAAATTCTCTTAATTTATTATCCTGAAGAGATTAGGAATGTCCATGTGCTTTGTGGCTGAATTAATAAAAGTACAGCAACTAAAGCAAAGAACATGAGAATCCTCTTGATTTAGATATGCTGTGTTTGAAATAATGCGTTTGGTGCTTTCCACTTCTTACTATTTATTTATTTATTTATTTAGTAGAGATAGGATCTTGCTAAGTTGCCCAGGCTGGTCTCGAATTCCTGGGCTCAAGGGATCTTCCCGCCTTGGCCTTTCAAGTGCTCATTATAGGCATGAACCATTGTGCTCGACCCCATTTCTATTTTAATCAGGAATATGTCAAAAGAAAGAGTAGCCAGAGATAGCCTTCTCTTAAAGCAGGGTATTGTATCTTCATCTGACAATAGCTGACTTGGTTAACTTTGATTTAATTTTGGCTTTTGGGAAGCCAGGGGAAAAAGAAGTAAAGCTGAGGATGGTGAAATACCGTTGCTATACCCAGAAACACTGCACCTGATTCCCGCTCAGTGTCTCCTAGGAGACCAACTGCCTTCTGCTGCTGGTATCCGGAAGGGGAAATGAGTTACCTTAAGTGGGCCCAAGTGGGGAAGTATTAACTGTACAACTAGAAAGCAAGAGCTGTCAGGAAAGCCCTGAATGGGTTCCCACTGCTATTTCAGACAAAACTCATGCAGTTAAGCCTGAATTTCCTGGCAAGCGCAAGGGTAGGTTTTTCCAAAAGGCTTTTCAGACTGCAAATGCACAGCCTTTTCATGTCTAATCACGAAAGCAAGCCGCTGGACACATGCTCTCTGTTCCCAGCTAGTTGTGTATGTTTTCTTCACACTTCAACAGAAACGTGCCAAGGTGTGACATTTACGAATCCCGCCAACTGGAAACTGTGCACACAGATCGGTCTTGCCTGTGGTGTGGGAAAGTGATGAATGGGGGCTGTTCTGCCGGGGGAGGAGGGCTGCTGTCACTCTGGCATGCCTACAGCCTTATTTATTACACACCAAACTATAAAACCACTCCGCCACTGCAGCTCTCAGCTCCAGTCCTGGCATCCACCCGAGGAGACCACGCTCCTGCAGGGAGCCTCGCTGTCTTCTCACGGAGGCTCTGAGGCTCTGTTGAGAATCATGCTTTGGAGGCGGCTCGTCTATTGGCAACTTCTGGCTTTGTTTTTCCTCCCTTTTTGCCTGTGTCAAGATGAATACATGGAGGTGAGCGGAAGAGCTAATAAAGTGGTGGCGAGAATAGTGCAAAGCCACCAGCAGACTGGCCGTAGCGGCTCCAGGAGGGAGAAAGTGAGAGAGCGGAGCCATCCTAAAACTGGGACTGTGGATAATAACACTTCTACAGACCTAAAATCCCTGAGACCAGATGAGCTACCGCACCCCGAGGTAGATGACCTAGCCCAGATCACCCCATTCTGGGGCCAGGTACTCAGAATTCTCTTTTAAGGATTTGTGTGAAAGCTTGAGTTTTGTTTTTGCTGTTGCTGTGGTTGCTGCTGCTGTTGTTTTTTTGGCTAAGATTATTAGAATCAATGAATGCTTTAGAGACGTTCGCTAAGCTGCTTGTGGATCTCTTCCTTGATTGCTCTGGGGTACAAGAGAGACTGTCAGTCTCTGTTAGAAAATCAGCAGATGTGATGGGATAAAGAGTGGCCATAGCATCACCTCATCAGAAAGGGGAGCCAGCTTCCTGCTATGCTGGGACTTGATTTCTTTCTTGCTCTGTTGGTCTGGAAAGGAGTGCTGACCCATGAAGACAGATGGGTTGCGGTAGATAATCATTTGTTGTTTGTAAGAGAATTGGACTTTCTTAATCCCTTCCAGCAGGGAGAAGCTGCCCTTTGAGCTTGTCAAAAGCAATCAGAATTTTTTTTACTTTGATCTGTGAGTATACTGTGACATTTCTCGTCAGTCTTGTTTATTTGGTTTATAGCATTCTGGGTTGTTATGCCTCACTGCTCAGCTTGTTTTAAAAAGAATTAAAGAGTTAAATAAAAAATAAACTGTATATTTAAAATGCAAACCTTATAGCATGATTTGATGCCTGATAGTCACAGAGGACTTGATCTATTTCTCAGGTTATAAATTCAGCATTTAAGGAAATATCTTTAACTCTTGGTAGTGTAAGAGTGAGTTAAGATTTCAGTATAGTGAATTACAAATTGGCGAAACTCAATGTAATTTAAAATATTAAATACAGGAGAGACACTGATATGTCGAAAGCAGATGGAGGGAGTGAGAAGAGTTACTTTGAGTTATATGATAGTTGAACATATGGGTTTTTACTACAAGAATTGGCTACTTCAATGCATTAAATAGGACCTGAAGAATTTCATGTCGTTGAAATCTAAATCCTTTTTACCATGGATTGAGAAGTTTGGGTGGGTTGTTTGGTTATATAGTAGGAACCAAGATCACATGCAGAATCAGTTGTAGATCTGAAACTAACCCAGAAACTTCTAACCTGACCACACAAGCAGTTGCCCAAACCATTCTGTGGAGGCTGTATCAGAGAAAATTGCTTCTTTGAGGAGCCACAGAAGAAGTGATATTCTCTCAATGTGATCTTATCTTTTGAAAGCCACTTTTAGACATTGTCTATTCATCTGACACTCTTTTGGCTAAAGGGCAATGATTAACGCTAATTTGTGTGTGGGTTTTTTGTTTTGTTTTTGTTTTGTAGTGAAGATATTTTCACTTGTGTCCAAGACTTGATCTGGACTTTCCATTTCATAGATGGTATCCTTCCTGGACATGACAGTGTAATTCCCCAGAGGCAGCAGAAGGAAGTTAAAGGTTATCTTTGGTCATTATGTCCTGACAACCAACACCCAGCAGGTCCCTGAAATCCAGATCACACTTCTCCTTCACTCTACCTTCTAGAATCCTGAAGTATTTTCAAACAAACCACCAACAGGAGACAGTGAGGATATTTACTTTTCAGTACATCTCCTCTACCAATGGCTATGGAGATACAGATTGAATTGAGAATTCTGCTATGTTCTTCCTTCTTTCCCTACTTCCCTTGTCCCTCTTCTTTCATTTAATTCACTTTTCCTTTTATTCATTTAGTTCCCAAGCATTTCTTGTGCTTCTATTTTGTGCCAAACTTTAAAAGAGGGGGGAGGCAGGGATATATAAAGATAAATATGCCTGAGCTCCCATGTCCAAACCATCCTGAAGGCCTCTAGTAGAATAATTTTTTGTTAATTAAATTAAGTTTAATTAAATGCCATGTGTTAAATAAAGTCAGCACATAAAAGGCAATTGAGCGAAAGTGTTAAAGTACTTATGGTCTTTGAGTTGGATCTTAAAAGATGAGATTAAAAGAATTACTATCCACAGCAAATTAGGAAGAAAAAAAAAAGTGCTGCAACAGAGACTGGAGGGCCTGTGAGGAGCTGGCTGTGACTGAAGCTCCTGGGTTAGGGATGCAGGGGTGGAGGTTGGGGGGATGGGACATTACACAATTTTAGTGTCAGGCCAAGAAGGATTCTGCTATCTGGTTTAGGAGCTTAGATTTTGCTTTGCTAGCAAGATTTTGTTTGTTCATAGCAGGACAGTGAGATAATCAGATTGTGTTCTGGAGAGATGCTCTGGCTGTGGGTTCATGGTGGAGAACAATGCCCAGAGATCTGGGGTGAACAGACCTGGACTCTTTTCCTGGTATTTTCTTCTCTGAAGCCTCTTTGTCATCTACCTTTATCAATCTCATCTCCTTCTCCTGGATACCCATTTCTCCCTCCTCCCACTTCCCTTCCTCTTCTTTCTTTTCCCTTTTTTTTTGGGGGGGGTGTTAAAAAAAGGAGCTATGACTCTCCTTCCTAGAAGTCACTTACTAGTAGTAGAGTTCAATTCTGCATCACTACGCCTAGACCTCCGTCTACAAAATTGATGGAGCGTGTCTTTCTCCCATGAGGCAAATTTACATGTCTTCTGCATACAAATTTGACCTGCTTTTGAGAATGGGGCTTATAAACTTAAGGAGATTATAAATAGCAACTACGTACATGTAATTTTTCCCTTACCTAGGAGAAAACTTCTGAGTTAACACATACTGTCCAACTTGTTCTAAGAGTTCCATCAAAAGACTGACAAGCATTGTTCCATTCAACTGAACTTTGAAAGACAAAGCCAGAGGGAGGAACATGTAATGCGATGTTGCTGAAGGGTTCTCACGAGGCGCCCGACTAGTAACAACCGAAAGTCTCTCACTGTTTTGGTGACAGCTCTGTGCTCTCGAGGTGCCCTCAAGTAGCTTGGTCTTGCACTTCCAATCCAAGTTAGCTCTAGCATTGAGCAACCTCATCTCCTGGAGCTGACTTCTTGTGCCCAGATACTAGACTTTAAGAACAACAATAAAAAAATGCAAGACCATTGTAGGGAAAAAGTGGGAAATGTTCCGCTGTTTCATCCTCTGAAGATTCTCTAAAAATTAACTGTCCTAAGGCAGATCAATAGGACAAAAACACATAGAGATTTAGGTAATGGCATAGCACACAGGAATTGCATGGGAATGCAGTATGCATGCTGACACACCCTTCCATGTAGAGTAGCGGGGAGTTGGGGAATGTAGAAGTAAATGAAGAAGCTCCTCTGAGCCTTGAGGGAGGTGTTGTTACCAGCAGCGAATCCACACAGGTCTGCAGCAACCTCAGTTCTTGGCTCCTCAATTCCATTGAGGGTAATAAGGTGGAAGAAGAGACCAAAGCAAGTTTTAGAACAAGAATGAAAGTTTGTTAAAGAGCTTTAGAGCAAGAACAAAAGGAAGGCAAGCGTACCCGGAAGAGGGCCGAATGGGCAATTTGAAAGACAAGTGCATGATCTGATCTTTTGACTTAGGGTTTTTTACATTGGCGTTCTTCTGGGGTCTTGCGTTACTTCTCCCTTGATTCTTCCCTTGGGGTGGGTTGTCCACCTGGTCAGTGGCCTGCCAGCACTTACTTGGGAGGTGAGCATGCACAGTGTGTTCACTGAAGTTGAAAGCATGCTCACTTGAGGTACTCTTCCCTTACCAGTCAAGTGCTCCTAGGAGTTCATTTGCCAATTACATTCTGCCATTCTGCCTCTTCATGCACATGCTTGAGCCCACTTGCCCAACCTCTTATTGGGAAGCTGCTCATCATCAGTTTCAGGTTTTCTCTATCTATAGGGAGACTGCCTTTCCCTGGCACTGGGTGCAACCAATTATTATTTTAGAGTGACAGTTAAAAACCACTTGACCATCATCTGATGATCACCTGACATTCCTGGTCAGGTAGAGCCCTCCCCTATCTTGCTTATGTCTGAGTAGCTACCTACTGTAACAGTGTCAGAAAGGGAAGGGAAATTTACTGTGAACAGAGATTGTCCTAAAGCTTCCCAGATTATATCTCCTAGCTGCCTTCAGGAAATAGGGAAAAGCCTGTCTGAGCCTTGTGGTGACTCCCAGTCTCTTCTGTTCTCCAGTGGTTGATCTTTCCCGGTTATCTGATAGATTCCTAAGGAGGAGTTCTTAAGACAATTGCATTTCTTCTGGAAAGAAGCTTCCTTAGTCAAATTTCCTTATTTGACATTTCAAACAGAGTCTCTCCAGGCGCTTCTGGAAAGAGGATCAGAGAGACTGGGAGGCAGGGAAATGGCAGAGAGAGACCTTGGATCTGAGGCTTTCTTTCCTCTCTCTCTCTCTCTCTCTCTCTCTCTCTTTCCCCCACAAGCCAGTTATCCCTGTGGTAGCTCTTCCAACACCTCTTTCTTAAAATCCGAAAGGTCAGAAGAATCATGAGGGCCCCTCTCTCATGACCTGCATTCGTACAGAAAATCAAGATCAAGCGAGCTTTTGTCTTGCTCCATGGACCCTTTCCTCCTCCCTGAGCTCACCTTATCTTCATGGCTTATTTCTGAAGCCTTCCATTTCCAAAGCACTCAACACACTGAAGCATGTTATTTTGAAGAGTCATTTTCTGTGCCCCAACACCACCTCATCCAATCCTTTGATTTAATAGCCAAAAACAAAGCAAACAAAAAAAGATGTCTGGAGAACAGTGACTTCTCTAAGGTCACGCAGCAGCACGATGGAAATTCTGGTTTCAGTTCAGTGGGTGTTTCAACATTCCTAAGCATCTCAGTATTTCCATTCCATTCCTACATCAGTGGTTCCACTTGAGGATTTTCCCTTCTTCTCCTCCCTTCTCCATCCTTAAAATTCATCACTGGCAGAGCCCTGAATTTTCTGAGGTTTAAAAGGCTGAATTTCACATTAGCAAAACCATGGCAGGAAATACGGAATCCTTAGTTCTCAGATTACAGTTTTGGATGAGAAGGTGGGGCGTGCCGTGGTGTCTTTGACTTTCCAAGTGTCCTGAAATCCCTCAGATAAAATCCCTGAGATGAAATCGCTCATCTCAAACCCATGGCTTTAGTTGATTTTTCTTCCCCTACCAATTTAACAGAAGGTTTTCATAGACTCTAGTTCTTGTCCAGGTTGGAGCCTGGTAGACTGAAGACAGGACTAGAGTTAGCTCTAAGTCACAGCTCCTGATCAGGCAAGACTTGGGTTCTGAGCTATTGCAGGAGAGTGCTTGTGCTTCAGATACTATTTAGCGTTTTCCCTGAATAGCTTTGTGGAAAATTTTAGGAAAAAGTGGTGAGAGAGTGAGAACAAAATCCAAGTCCATTTTTGATTAAAGAAAAAAAAAAATAAGGTCTACATGTTTAACTGTGTGAAGTTTTGACCTAGTTTTCTGCTTAAAGTTTTTGTGATAATACAACTTGAATTTTAAATTCGTTTTTCCTCTCTCTGTGTCTCCTTTTTCTTTCTCTTCTTCCCTGACCTCCTTTCTCTCCTTTATCTCATTTTTTTCATGAATCTCTTAGCGACAACATGCTGTTTTCAAAAGACCATTGAATTATAATTGATGTCTAGGAACATTTCCACGAGTATTTTGTATGACATAATTAAAAGGCAAGTTGCCAATTTAGATGAGAGTTCAAATTTCATAAGCAACTTTAACTCTTCTGCAGTCAACGTCCACTAGATCTTTACCCCTTCGACAGAAAGCACAAATTTTCGAAATTTATCTTTGTATAAATAAGCATTTTACTCAGTGTCATATTTGAGCATATTTAGTACCCATTAAGTGCTTATTAAATATCGATTCAAACAGTGAGATAATAATTTCACAATTTTTTGTTTTTTGAAACTGAGTCTTGCTCTTGCCACCCAGGCTGGAGTGCAATGGTGCCATTTCAGCTCACTGCAACCTCCACCCTCTGGGTTCAAGTAATTCTCCTGGCTCAGCCTCCCAAGTAGCTGAGATTATAGGCATGCACCACTATGCCAGCTAATTTTTATATTTTTAGCAGAGACGGGGTTTCACCATGTTGGTCAGGCTGGTCTCCAACTCCTGACCTCAGGTGATCCAGCTGCCTCGGCCTCCCAAAGTGCTGGGATTACAGGCATGAGCCATTATGCCCAGCCAACCAATCATTTCACATTTTAAAGTGGAATGTGTAAAACAGAAATCATGTTAAATAGTCGATTTACTTGTAAAGTTAAAGTTGTTTTAAGATGTAGATAATTAATAAAAAGTATTAGACTTATAGTTAATAGCAATGTATTGTATTCTTAAAAGTTACTAAGAGCAGATTTTAAGTGTCCGCTCCAGAAAAAAGTATATTATTTACAAAAATATATAGCTATACATATATATCTACAAAAAATATATTATGAACTAATATGTTTATTAGCTCAATTTGGTATTTACATTGTGCACTTATTTTACAACAACATGTTATACTTGATAAATATATACCATTTGAAGTTGTCAGTTAAATAAATAAATGTATTGGACTAAAGAATACTTTATTTTCATTTTCTAAGACAATTTAAGTGTGCTGTAGCTGTTTGAAAACCTAGTGTTACTATTCAGAATTTCTAAGAACTTTTAATCTAGCTCTTAACCCAGTATCATAAATACAGTAAGCATAGTAAGAATTTAATAACAGTGTTTGAAGTGGATAATTCTTGTAATTTGAGGGTCATATACTCAATTTAGCTACATCTGGGGCTATGACAGTTTGGAAAGAGAAAAGGCTTCCAAATCTACTTCTGAAGGAGTTTCTTCCTTTGCTGTTATAGTAGCAGCAGGCAAGCACTTTCCAGAAATATGGCCCAATTTCCCACCCTGACCCACCTGCCTTTTCAAAGAGCATCTTCCTCTGTTGACTTTCTTGTTGCCTTTTCCTTTGATCATCAACTCACCTTAGCTGCTGCCTGACCTTTTGCCATTGATATCTCTACCCCATCCCATCTTTTCTGATCTTGTTGTGGATTGGAGTTAAGCTTACCTAAGGGCCAAGGCCAGAGGAAATTTAAAAGTCTGAATTGCTCACAAGTTCCTTTTTTTCTGAAGCTTCTCTTTCTATCTTTTTAGTCTCCACAAACCGGAGGAATGGCCCCAGATTGCAGTAAGTGTTGTCATGGAGACTACAGCTTTCGAGGCTACCAAGGCCCCCCTGGGCCACCGGGCCCTCCTGGCATTCCAGGTAAGGACGAGTGAGACATACTGTCAATCTGATTGCAGCCTGAGCTCAAGTAGGAGCAAAGGGCAAACCTAAATAATTTGGGATCATTTGTGTGTGATCCAAAGGATCCACTAGACTTGTGGCACACTGAAGTACCAGGTTCATAGGTTGGAGGCTCCTCACCAGGACTGAATCTGAAACTACCTGGTCTTCATTCCAGTATATCTGCCACAGCATGCTTTAGGAAGGGCAGAGCAGAGCTGAAAGCTTACTGGTCTGGGCTACAGTCATTTCCATGCCAGTCACTGAGCTGTGCATCCTTCTGTGTGACTCTAGGACCAGCTAAGTGCTTCTTCCTCCAGTCTCAGGGTCTCTCCGTGTTCAGCTGTCTCTCAAGTGACTCATACCAGTCTTGGGCTCATGGAAACATTTTTAGGCTCCAGCACCATGTAGTGGCAAGGGAAATGCTCTGGAGCTACATCAGACCCTGCTAGACCAACAGTTCAGTCATCTGTACCGTGCCGATGGCGCCAGGAACAGGATGGGGTGCCATGAGCCTGTTGGTGCCCTGGGTCAGCCCAGGAAAGGGTAGCTCAGGTCCCCTCAGTCTGGGGCTCCCAAATGTATCTTGGGTTCTATTGTCTTCATCTTCAGGTTAAACCCAAGGGTAAGACCTTATCTCAGGGTATGGCCAAAGTCCACTGGCTCTTCTGTGACTTACTCTCATTGATGTTAATATTTATCAAACGTTGTTTCATTTTTTTCCCTACTTTTGAGTAGCTTCTTGCACAAAACCAAATAGTAAGAAAATCCTATGTTAAACTTTAAACTACACTTACTGGCTTGGAACCTATGTCATTGACCATCAAGGACAGCAGCCAGCAAGTGCAATGATGTAGGGTGGGGGCTATTTTGACCCTCATAAAATCTTCTTAGGGCTTAACTCTTCTGAGGTTACAGGAAAGGCTGGCCTTGGTTAAATGTTTTCAACCAGGAAATGGCTTTGTCACTGAACACACTGATTTGTAAACACAAAGTTCATTCATTGGAAGAGTGATAAGCCTGCTATGATAACTGATCAAAGGTAGCATGCAAAATAAACAGCAAAAAAGCCTGAAATTTAACAAATATTAAAATAAAGAAGAGCTGTAAAAATTGTCTCTTGGTGGCAAAGGGAAGAGTTGAAATTGTTTTCCAACTCTTGCTTTCAAAACCATTGCTGTAATTTGTTTAATGAATGAGTTTACCTTTTCCCCAGTTATAAAAGTGATATGTGTTTTTTGTAGAAAACTTCAAAGAGACAGAAAAATATATAAAATGACATGAACATTACTCATGTTTCACATTTAGAAAAAAACCACTGTGGATATTTTTCTGTAACTTATTCTAGTCTTTTCTCTGTGAATATAATCCATAAATACATACTTTTTCCAAACAAAAATAGCACCATGTTATTTCTGTTTACTCATAACTTTTTTTCTAAAACAAGATCTGACTCTTTTGCCCAGGCTGGAGTGAAGTGACACAATCCAGGCTCACTGTAGCCTTGACCTTTTAGATTCAAGAGGTCCTCCTGCCTCAGCCTCCCAAATATCTGGGACTACAGGTGTGCACCACTATACTTGGCTAGTTTTTTAATTTCTATTTTTGTAAAGATAGGATCTCACCATGTTGTTCAGGATGATCTCAAACTCTAGGGCTCAAGTGATCCTCCCAGCTTGGCTTCCCAAAGTGTTGGGATTACAGGTGTGAGCCACTGTACCTGGCCACTCATAACTTTTTAAAATCTAAAAATACCATGAATATCTCTATATCATTAAATGTTTTTCTTCAGCCTTCTTTTTTATGACTATATAACATGATTTACTAGAATATGCCATTCCCTCTTTGTATTGGCGATTATATAGGTGGTTTCCAATCTTTGCTATTTTAAGTGATAATATGATAATCAGTCTTCTACACAATTTTTCCTCCAAGACTTGCTTCGAAGGATAAACAGGCTTTGGAGCTTTAGGGTATCTAAGGCTTCTTTCAGAGCCTGGTGCCCCATTTAGGTGATGATAGCCCTTGGTTCTGTTTGGGATTGTTTCGAACGGTCCCCTTTCACAAATGAGTTTGGACAGTTTGTCTAGAAATGGATGGTAAGTATGAGTGACTGGGTTTTCTCATGGGATGATGTCCGGTTGTTTAAGGAAACCATGGAAACAATGGTAACAACGGAGCCACTGGTCATGAAGGAGCCAAAGGCGAGAAGGGCGACAAAGGTGACCTGGGGCCTCGAGGGGAGCGGGGGCAGCATGGCCCCAAAGGAGAGAAGGGATACCCGGGGATTCCACCGGAACTTCAGGTAAACCATCCTCAGTACATCTCCTGGTGGCTTCCCAACCTCCCTGGCCGCAAGGGGCCAGGAATCAGCATGTTTGAGTGTTTCCTCAAGTCTTCCCCAATCTTGAGTAAATCTGAGTCTCAGTTTGTTCATCTACAACACAGGATGTTTGCATAGGGCCTATGCTGTCCAAAAGGAGGACTTTGATATTATTCTTAGGGAGGACAGACATTTATGAAGAGTGAAATCCAGGTTCCTCACAGAACCAAATCCAAGGCAGCCTTGAATATAAGCGCATCTCCTATTTTCCCAAATGAGATGTTTTAAGAATGTAATAAGATGTAATATGGGTTTGGGCCAACTTGAATATATAAACATTTAAATATATAAACGGAATGGTGAAATGTCTAGTTATGATATTTTATTGATTAATGTTGCTGTATTTACATATTTACATATACTAATCTATACATAAATATTGATATATATTATTTTCTCTCAATTTGGATTTTGTGGTATAATTTTTATTTGTTTATTTATTGAAACAGTCTTGCTCTGTTGCCCAGGCTGGAGTGCAGTGGCACGATCTGTGTTCACTGCAACCTCTGCCTCCTGGTTTTGAGTAATTCTCATGCCTCAGCCTCCCTAATAGCTGGAATTACAGGTGTGCACCACCACACCTGGCTAATTTTTGTATTTCTAATAGAGATAGGTTTTCGCCATGTTGGCCAGGCTGGTCTCAGATTCCTGGCCTGAAGTGATCTGCCTGCCTCGGCCTCCCAAAAAAGTGTGGGGATCCACGCTTGGCCTTGTGGTACAATTTTTATTTGAGGTTTTCTTGTCAGAATCTTCTTTAACAATGGAGGATTTCGGTTTTCAGTCATCCGTTCAATGCTCCAGACCAGATTACATTTATTTCAGCATAAAGTTTAAAAAATTAGTTTATGAGGTTAAAACTGTACATTTTATCCCCAGCTCAAGTTCCCATTTATCTATTCTTTATTTATCTTTTAAATGACCTTTAAAGTTCTTATTGCCAACAACATCTTAAACTGGTAAATGTGAGGTTAGGTCACAAGAAAAATTACTAACTTTGGGTTATTTTTGGAAGGTAGGGGAGAACAAATATTTTGAAATGGATCCCCTCCAGGGGACTTCTACCAGCATTGAAAACTAGCATTTTAAAAAATTAAGTTTGTTTCTGGCTAGTGTCTTCCCAAAACAGTAACTTGTGGATAAAAATAAAGTAACTGAGATAAAATCCTGCAACGTGAGAGACTTTTGAAGAACTAGACTATAAAGTGATTCTTGTCATTTGAAGAACTAGATATAAAGACTATAAAGAACTAGACTATAAATTGATGCTTGAAAGATCAATTAGGGGGAAACTGTCTTTTATTTTGGGTGTGTACGATGGTAATTTGACCCTGTATAAGTTCCATCATTTCTCTGGGCCTTAGTTTTTCAAGTTTAAAATAACGTGAATAGTTAGTGTGCTACTCTCACTGCTTTTTGTGGGCTTTGCAACTTTTAAATAAATGCTGTTTTAGTTTAGTTTTTTGTGTGTATGCACAGGCTGGAGTGCAGTGGTGTGATCTTGGCTCACTGCAGCCTCCAGCCAGGTTCAAGCAATTCTCTTGCCTCAGCCTTTGGAGTAGCTAGGATTAGAGGCATGCAATATCACATCTGGCTATTTTTTTTTTTTTTTTGTATTTTTAGTAGAGATGGGGTTTCACTATGTTGGTCAGGCTGGTCTTGAACTCCTGGCCTCCAGTGATCTGCCTGCCTTGCCTCCCAAAGTGCTGGGACTACAGGGTGAGCCACCGCGCCCAGCCATATGCTGTTTCATGTTTTCAGCAACCTGGGATCCATGTGCCAGTATAAATTTACAAACAAAGAGGCTAGAGATGCCACTCAGCCAGATTAAGGTATTTCATAAGACAGAAGGTAAATATCTCAAAGCTGAACACTCTAACCTAGAACCTGTGAATGGTAAACCACGGAGAAGGGGCCCTGGAGTAGCTAGTTTGATAGAGAACATTCTGGGTGATTATTAAATTTGTCCCATCAGCTATTTTACTCTAAAATCACAATACAACCATTTGGGTCTTAGGCAGATTGTGAAGGAGGGAACTTCACATTCTTTGATGGTTCCAGCAAATTAAAGAATTTATTAATCTAACTTACACTCAGTTTCAATGACTCATTTGGTCCAAGGATTGACTTTGATTTTCACAACTCATTCTTCAGTAGTGGTTTTAAGCAAAAGCTTTTCTTTTTTTAAAATTTTTATTTTAAGTTCAGGGGTTCATGTGCAGGTTTTTTACATAGGTAAACTTGTGTCATGGGGATTTGTTGTACAGATTATTTTATCACCAAGTATTAAACCTATTGTCCATCGGTTATTTTTCCTAATCCTCTCTCTCCTCCCACCCTCCACCCTCTGATAAGCCCTAGTGTTTGTTGTTCCTCTCTGTAAGTCCACATGTTCTCATCAGTTAGCTCCCACATATACGTGAGAACAGGAGAACATGCAGTGTTTGGTTTTCTGTTCCTGCACTAGTTTGCTAAGGATAATGGCGTCCAGCTCCACCATGTTCCTATAAGGGACATGATCTCATTCTTTTTTATGGCTCATGGTGTTCCATGGTGCTTATGTACCACATTTTCTTTATCCAGTCTATCATGAATGGGAATTTAGATGGATTCCGTGTCTTTGCTATTGTGAATAGTGACAAAAACTTTTCTTGACAGGTGGAATTGTCCCAAGACTTTAAAAATTATTGTTAATATTTTGTATTTTGAACTTCAACCCTGTCTTTGGACATTAATAGTACAGAAGTTGTAGCAATAGTAGTAGTGGCAGGAGCAGGAAGAGTAGTGCCCCATTTTACACTGAAGGGATGTAGAAATTTCAGGCTCAAGTTCTAAATGACTTACCAAGTGACAGAATTAAGAGAGGTGGGCCTTAATCTCATATTTTTGGACCCAAGTAGACAGTTTTATTCCCAAACTCATAGAGCCTCTTGGTTGCCACCATGAGTGGGCTTCTTAAATTAATTCTCTTCGCTGATCTTTTGCTGATTGAGCAGAGGCTTTCAAAGTCCCTTAAAAGATTACACATAAAGTGTTTGTAACCATTCCCAGGAATGGGTGTTGACTATTAAATGACTTCTTGGATTCTCCTATCTCTAAACTTTACAGTTCCAATATGACATTTTTTTTTCATCCAAAATCATGCCCGGAAATTTTTGCTGTTCTATATTCAAAAACATTGCTAATTTTAGTAAACCATTTTTCTATGTCTTAGGTAATTGCAAACACACTCTTTTACCATTTCAAGGTTATTCACATAATATTTTCTATTGTTAAAGAAGATTTTAAAACTTCTGGGCAAAAAATAATAAAACATGCCCAGAGATGATTACTATTAACATATAGTTATGTAACTTTTCAGATTTATGCATACTTATATACATGTTACTTTTAAATATCATGGGAACATATATACATATTATTACTTTATTTCATGAATGACAATCTATCCTAAATACCTGTTCATGTAAATAAATACAATTCTATATATTTAAAATTAGTATCTTTTTTATGAATATAAAATTAATACATGCTAACTTGAAAGTTATAAGTGTAATGAAGATAAGAAAACCTTCCCGTGAAACTTCTACTGAGAAAGACCTGCTGTTAATAATTTCAAAAATATTCTTGCAGATATTTTTCTGAATTTGCTTGCACAATAACTCCATCCACACAGACACAGTTAATAAAGTCTGCTATCAGACCATAATGATCTTGTGTTGTCTACTTTTTGACTAAACAGTGAACTGAAGATATTTTCTCATTTTATATAGATGCACATTTAGATCAGCATGAAGAATTATCAAAGTGTATTCAAAGAATTAATTTTGTTAGAAATTAATAGGCTGGGCACCATGGCTCACTCCTGTAATCCCAGCACTTTGGGAGGCCGAGGAAGGCAGATCTCTTGAGTCTAGGAGTTTGAGACCAGCCTGGGCAACATAGTGAGACCTAGTCTCTACAAAGAAAAAAAAAAACTAATAGGCATCTTTTGGGGAAAAATTATGCAGGGTTACCAAAATTAAAATGTTTGACTATAGAGCTTCTCAGATCCTTGAATTTGCTAATATGCATTTCATGGCTATATGTGGAAAATTTCAAATGAATTTTTCTGGTGTTATTTAATAACAGAATTTTAATATTTCAAAAATCTTTTGAAATACAAATAATCTTTGAAACCTGTGTTCAAAAATGTTGATATACATTGTCACTCTAACAGCTGCACAGCATTAAAATGTTAGGAATTACATAATTTATTCATTTCTTTCTCCATAGATTGATGTTTATTTCCAATCTTGCTGTTATATATAATGTTTTAACAAATGAATCTGCATAAAAACTTGACTTCTTTAATATAAATTGCCTATTTACTGACCAATAGTTATTTCCTTAGATTGCGTTCATGGCTTCTCTGGCAACTCACTTCAGCAATCAGAACAGTGGGATTATCTTCAGCAGTGTTGAGACCAACATTGGAAACTTCTTTGATGTCATGACTGGTAGATTTGGGGCCCCAGTATCAGGTGAGATGGAAAAATAGAAGAAGATTGAGTTAATCAAAATAATAAGACAGTTAAAGAAGAAAGGAAAGAGGAGAGGGAGGAAGTGACAGAGGGAGGAAGTGACAGTGGGAGGGAGGGAAAGAAGGCTGAAGGGAGTAGGAAATAAAGAAAGACATTAAGGTAGTTATTCTTTTCTGTTTCGGGTTAAACCAAACAGCGTATATAGGTTTCTGTTGGATTTCAAAGTAAACAAATAAGAATCTGAAAAGACAAAGACAGTTTTAAAAATATGGCCATAGTTACTAATATTATTAACTCTGATTTGGACTGAGAAGGACATAGTTACCTCTGATTTTAAAAGTCCTTAAAACAGAATTCTCAGTTTAAAGGTATCATAACCTTTTCCTCCCCTGGCCACCACCCCAGGGAGTGCCTGATCCTATTTTTTAATTAAAAAAAAAAAATTGAGTAGATAATACATTTACTTATTTAAAAAGTTAAAAGGGTTTCTTTATGCAAATGAATACAAATGTATCTTCTCTCATTTCTATATAAAAGCTAGGCTACTCTACAGTCTGATTGTATCTTGCTTTTAAAAAAACTAACAATATATTTTAGAAATCTTTTCACATTATTACTTCATCTTTTTTCTTATAGCTAGAGATACCAAAGTATATTTAGTGATTCCTTTATTTCTGGACTTTGGGTTGTTTCAAGTTTTTTTTTTTTTTTCTTGTTGGTGGTGGTGTTTTTGTTTTTGTTTTCTTCTAGACAGGGTTTCACTCTGTTGCCCAGCCTGGAGTATAGGCAGTGGTGCCATCTTGGCTCACTGCAACCTCTGCCACCCCTGCTTCCCAAGCTCATGTGATCCTCCCCACTCAGTCTCCTGAGTAGCTGGCACTACAGACCCAGACCACCACACCAGGCTAATTTTTGTATTTTTAGTAGAGATGGGTTTTACTATGTTGACCAGGCTGGTCTGAAACTTCTGGCCTGAGGTGATTCACCTGCCTCAGCCTCCCAAAGTGCTGGGATTACAGGTGTGAGCCACCATGTCAGTCAGAATATACCATTTTGATATTGATCACTTACAGGTATATTTGTAGGCTAAAGTGTTAGAAACATTACCAGTGTGAACATATTCATAATTTTTTTATCAATTTTGCCAAATTGCTCCCTGAAAGGGTTGAACCAATATACTTATATTGTCAAAATATGAAAGCATTTATTTCCTGATAGCCTAATCAGCAAAACGTGCTTTCAAGTTTCTGGACAGTTGTTAAATAGAAAATTCCATTTTACAAACTTTTTACTTTGAATTGATTTTAGACTTATAGGAGAGTCATAAAAATATTATGCAAAGTTTTCATATTTTCTTTAACCATCTTCCCCTGCTATTAACATTTTAAATAACCAAAGTGCTATTACTAAAATAAAGAAATGAAACTAGGTACAATACTATGACTAAATTCCAGACTTTATTCAGATCTCACCAGGTTTTTCTGATGCCCCAGTTTTTAGTTCCTTCTGTTGTCTGGCCTTTTCTACCATGAGTTTGTGCCTTTTGTTCTATAATGATCTTTCATAGAAGTATTTGCTTTATTAGTAGAAATCCATGACTACATTTTTCATCTACTACTTGACAACGTGTTTTTCTTGGAGAGTACTGTTAATCCATTAGGGTCATTTTTGCTTTTCTTTTCTACTTTTAGAAGTTAACTGATGGTTGAATGAGTTGTATTTTTCTTGACCAGCTATATGCTATAGTTTCTTGGGAAAGAAAGGATGAGGGCATTTTCTAGACCAGGTAACTCAATGACTCCCTCCCCTGCTGCTGGGAGACTGATGGATTCTTTTAAGTATGGTCTTGATGTGTGTTTTTCTTGGCCACACCTCTGCTGCCTCTCCAGACTGCACTGGGTCCAGGAAAGCTTCTGAAACCAGCCTTGCACTTCCCAGTTCCCTTGCCTTCAAGAGCATTTTTTTTTTCCCCTTTTTGCTGGCAGATTTTGAGATCGGCCACTGCAGGTCCTGTTTCTACATCCTACACTGTATCTAGCAACCATCACCCCAAATACAGCCTTTGCTTCACAGTGAACAAAGGCTGTGTTTGGGGTGATGGTTGTGAACTCAGTTTGTGAACTCAGCCCTGTTCACAGGGGCTTGCCTGCAGCATTACCCTTCCACGTGGCCCTCACTGTCAGCGAGAGCATTTCTCCTGGCACTATGTAAAACCTGCTGGCACCTGGCCTCCTCAGAACCTGCCCAACCTTGTGTTATCTTCACGTGACTCTGCCTACCCTCAGGGGCATTTGGCAACACTTAGAGGTATTTTGAAGTTCATTGATTTTCTTCCAGATTCCTAGTGTTGCAGAATGTGGATACTTATTTGGTTTTTGTTTTTCAATTCTTTTTGTTTCTCTATATGGTATTCAGAATTAAAAGGAAGAAACTTCTGATGGATGCAGTAGCCCTGTCAGATTTTTCACAAATACTTTTAAGTACACCTTGAATTATTTTTCTATTCAGCTTAAGTCAGAAATTAACCGAGATATGAAATGATAGAAACAATCTTTCATCACAGTTTAATGTCAGGAAAATCACCTTTAACATTCTTAATGTGATTTTCTGCTCTGAAGGTTTATGTCATAATTTTCTTAAAACTATTCTGTTAAATGCTATCTGTGCCACAGATTATAATAGTACCTAGAAATACCTCGTCCACATTTCCATGGAATTAAATGGCTTTATAATTGAAGCCTAAGTAAGAATTTAGTTTTTCAGAGCTTCTTGAGTCAGACGTTCAGTTTCTAGTGATACCAACTGTTATTTGACTCTCACAGTTTTCTGTTTCAATCTCCATTTTTGCAATAGATTGCAAAAAGATGGTTTTCAACTTTGGGAGTGAAGAGACAGAGAAGGCTGGTTTTTGAAATTACAGCAACACAAAGATCTCAAAGCCATAGGGCAAGTGTGTCTCCTCTGGTTTCAGTACCTTCCCTTGCAGAAAAGCCACATGTGGGTATAATACATATTCACTTTGGTATTTCCAACTCCAGGCATTTCATTTGTTCACCATCTGTTTTTTTCAGTCTACTCTTTCTAATATGTTTTTGCAATCTATTTTTTATAGTAGTCATCATTTGTAAGAAAAACTAATATATTTTCCTGTCATTTTGATTTCAGCTTTATCTTCTTGAGGCAGTGAAAATTGTGATGTGTCTGTGTCTAATATGAAATTTTGTAAAATATGAAAAACTAAACACCTATAAGCTATTTTTCTTGAGGTGTTTCATTTTATCTGCCTTTCTTTTTGTCTGTGGGCTAATCTCTAGGCATATGAATGGGCATGATGAACTTTTAGGCCATTTCCTTTGCTCCCAGAACATTGAATATGCATTCCTGGCACTAGGCAAAGCATCATCATACTTCTTCATTTAATTTGGCTTAGAATCAGGTGAACTGACATGGCACCTTTACAAGTTATTTTTCCAACTTACTTGATTGCACCTTTGAGAAAAAAATAGAACTGTCCTCTGCTTTTTTTAAAAAAAAGATATTTCTGGATTATGTCTTGAAAAGCCATTAGTTTAAAATGCAACATGGAAATCACTAAGAGCTTGATGACTTATGTTCATTCACCTTTCCAAAATGCACACTCAAATCCCAGATCACTTAAAGTTGGAAAAATTTTCCTTTTGACTTGTCTGTCTGCTACTGGATTCTTCTTAATCATTCAGTAATAGTATCTTGTGTGCTGGCACTTAGAGTATATTAGATCATATTATATTGCCTTCAGTTAGGACCCCTAGGCTCTTATAAGAAAACTGAAATCTTTAAAAATATATGTTGATCTTTTTCAAATGAAGAGGATACAGACTTTTAGTGACAAGGTCATGTTGCTGAGTCTAAGTTGGGTCTTTCTGTTTATTATATGTAATTTCACCAACATAAAAAATTACCAGAACCATTTGTTTAGAATTCATAAACATTTATTCTGTGCTCCAGGGTTTCCTTACCTTTAGCTAACTTCTTTGGTGAGTATAATCATCTGTTGTATTATTATAATTCCTTGTGTTTTTAAGTCATGGGGCATTGTTGTTCAATCCCAAACCTCTCTGTACCTTGATAACATGAGTCCTGTGGTAGATGCAGATGATAGCTAACCTATGCCCAGGAACAACACCTACTTTGACCTAAGCACTTTGTCAGAGCACAAGGCAGAGAGATCCAGCTAAAATGAGGTAGGCTCTTTCTCTTAAAGACTTTTAAGTGTTATTCAGGATACACAGTGTACACATTGAGAAAGTTTCAAAATACTTGAAAGCACTTGGAAGGGGAGTAGACAAAGGGACATTCCTGAAAAATAAGGCCAAGGAGAGACTCCATCCTACAAAGAATATCAATAAAAGAAATGTGAAGGCATTTGGCAAATCTCCAGATAGTTCCAGGTCCTCAATGTATAACATGTTAATATCAACATGGATAAATACCTGCCTTTTTCAGGTGTGTATTTCTTCACCTTCAGCATGATGAAGCATGAGGATGTTGAGGAAGTATATGTGTACCTTATGCACAACGGCAATACAGTCTTCAGCATGTACAGGTGGGTGGTCTTTTCTATCACAGGTCTCCTCCATGCTGCCATTGCTTGTTCAAGGAACGAGGGAAGCGTGTCATGTAGGAGTCAATAGAGCCTGATATGGCCCCTTTCCTAATAAGAGTCCTCATGCACCAATATGGCCACATTATCATCATTACTATTTGGGAAGAAATAAATCTGATGAACTTGAGCATCAGCAAGTTGATAAGAGGCCTTGCATTAGTTACTAGCAGCACTCACCATAACCAATCATTTGGATTATTTTTATAACTCATGATTTTTCTCCTCTCCCTCTGCCCCTTTTTCTGCTTTCCCATTTCTCCCATGCCCTCTGATGTTAGCCTGAAATGTGGCAGAGAGGCAGACAGCCAACACCTTTCTTACAATTAAGTGGGCCATGAGTTATCTATGAAAAACCCCGTGGCTGTTATCATTTCCCTGTTATTTTTGAAGATGTGTGATAATTGCTGTGTTTACTTCTGGAGCCGAACCCGAGTGGGAAGATGATTTTGAAATGCCAAAAGACAGAAAGATGAGTTAGGGTAGGTGAAATTGTTGCAACTAAGAGATCCAGTAGCTCTAACATGCTGGAAGTTGATTCTTCTTGGCCAGTCCAGGGCAAGAGTTCCAGGTTGGGAAAGAATGGGGGTTTGAAGGAAGGATGCAGTTTGGGAGTGGGTTTATTCTTCCTGGTTTTTGAGGAAGCCAGGCTGATGAAAGCAGCTCTGCTCTCCATAAAACTGACTTTGAAATTCTCTCTGGTCATTGTCATTGCCAGAGTCAGAAGGAGAAAAGCTTGCTGTTGCCAGCTTGTGGAAATATTTATGGATCAGGAATTCTGTTCAGAAAACTTAGTCACATTGTTTTCCACCCAGCCAATGCAAGGGTGGCATGGAAGTGCAGTGCTGATGGAAGAGAGGAAAGGGGATTCTGGTGAACAGCTAGCCTCTTCTGCCTCTCTGGCTTCCAAATATCTGCTGAATTCTTTTTCTCCACTTAGCATACATGTCTCCCCATCTCTGTCTTTATGGGAGACAGACTGTAAAGCACAAATAATGCATCCAGCTCAAAGCCCCGAATCGGTCAATGAGTAGTCCTTTTCATCAAATGGTTCATTGGCTGTTTTTCTCTTTGGCTCCTGATTCTGTCCTCTAGGAGGGTCTTCTTTATCTGTTTTTCTCTGTGGCACATCTAAAAGGTGAACAGGCCTCCTCCGGGTCTCTCTCACAGCCCACTTCCTGATGGTGCAAATTTGAATGCTGAGTCAAACATCCCAAGCCTCTTAAGTCCAGTTTTCGGTAATTTCATTTCCTCAGAAACTTACTTAACAGGCTTTTACTCTACTCTTTTTTTTTTTTAAACTCTGTTTTACTCTATTTACTTAGCTGGCTTTTGCTTCATTGGTTACATGCATTAAGTCAAGTGGGTTACATGTGTTACTAAACTACAATCCAGGTACTTTCCTTGACAGTTTTCAGCCTACTCTCTCTTGTCTTCATGCCTTTCTCTCAGTTTAATGGAGTTACCCTGAGGCTTTCTAAAGCAATAGCTGTGGGTAGAAAGGCAATATTTTTAAACCATCAGATTGTGCCACAGCTGTGTCTATTTGATTAAATAAGTTTTTTTTTTTTTTAATTCTACTTTAATTCTGGGATACATGCACAGAACGTGCGGGTGTGTTATATAGGTATACATGTACCATGGTGGTTTGCTGCACCTATCAACCCATCACCTAGGTTTTAAGCCCTGCATGCATTAGGTATTTGTCCTAATGCTCTCCCTCCTCCTTCCCCCCACCCCGCAAAAGGCCCTGATGTGTGACGATCCCCTCCCCCGTATCCATGCATTCTCATTGTTCAACTCTCACTTATGAGTGAGAATATGTGGTGTTTGGTTTTGTGTTCCTGTGTTAGTTTGCTGAGAATTACGGCTTCCAGCTTCCTCCATGTCCCTGCAAAGGGCATGAACTGATTCTTTTTTATGGCTGCTGAATGAGTAGTCTCAAGGAAAAAACATCAACTTTATCACTGCTCTTTCAGGTATAAAAACACCTGGCTTTTCTAACATTGTTAGGCCCCAACCATGTAGACACTATTTACTTCCTCTACTTCAAACAAGTCAGTTTTTGCCTAAGCTGATCTTCTGTAGCAACATCTTTATAAAAGCAGCAAAGAGTATTTTGGCTTTTTCCAATCATTTCCCTTTCTTAGCCTATAGGCATTAGATCTGTCTTCCAAGTTATCACGTTTTCCCCAATGTTTTTGCACAGTGTAACATGGATCTCCTGCTTTTCCAGACCATGGTATTTGTTTCCCCATTGCTCCTTGCCTGACCATGAGCCAGTGAAGCCTATTTTTATTTGGGTTATGGAACAGTCTCTTTTAGTCCCAAATTCTAGCTTAGATAGGGAAAGCTAGATTGCTGTAACTAAAACCCAGTGGAATGGGTCAAACATAGTATCACTTTCTTTCCTTCTAGTCAAACAGCCCAGAGTTGTTCCAGGCTGGGGTAAGGGAGAGAGAGAGAGAGCTCTTTTCTACACATTCTCCAAGAACCTAGTGTTCATCATACAGCTTCTAAAATCATTCTTGTCATTGCCATGAACATTCCAGGCAGTCATAAGAAGGAGCAGGGAGGGGTGTTTGTGAGAGTGTTACTGGCCAGCTGTAGAAGTGGCACATAGATCATTTCTGCTCACAGGCTGTTTGGAGAACTTAGCCACAGGATTATTCCCGTTCGAAAGGGAGAAGGGGAGAACAGACTTTGGTGAAAAGCTGGCTGTTCATGGCAAAGACTAAGTAGTTTGTGCCTCTGTTTCTTTCCAGCTATGAAACAAAGGGCAAATCAGATACATCCAGCAACCATGCTGTGCTGAAGCTGGCCAAAGGGGATGAAGTTTGGCTGCGAATGGGCAATGGCGCTCTCCATGGGGACCACCAACGATTCTCCACCTTTGCAGGATTCCTGCTGTTTGAAACGAAGTAAATACATGACTAGAATAGCCTCACTTTGGGGAAGACTTGTAACTGAGCTGATATTGTTATGGTCTGAGGAACATTAAAGTTGAAGGTTTTACAGGCTGTATTCAAAAAATTCTTGGTTACTATGCTATTCATGCTACAGGTATACACCAATCACGTTGGACAACTCAGGGGCTCAGAAGAATCAACCACAAAATAGTCTTCTCAGATGACCTTGACTAATATACTCAGCATCTTTATCACTCTCTCCTGGGCACCTAAAGGAGAATTCTCCTCTGACACAGGTTGGAAATAATTTTTCCTATCAGAGAAATCATTTGCAAAGAATTTTGGCTGCTCTGCTTTTAATTTAATATCAGTTTTCAGGAACTCCTGAAGTCTTGAGTTCATCATTCTTTATAACACTTGAGAGAATAGGATGCAGTGATATTGCTGGGGCAAGAACAGGGGTGCACTTGCCAGCACCTAGGTTCCGGAAACATCCGTAAAGCCTAGACTGGGAAATAACACTTTCACCCAGTGGGTCAATATTCATGAATAAAATGGAGTTTGAAAAAAAATAATTCCAGATAGCTTTTAGATAGCAAAAGTATTTACAATGTAGATAAGTAATTGGTTCCTCCTTTTTAATAAAAAATACTTCTGTAATTAAACCTTGAGTTCTAATGACTTGCATTTTTATAAATAGAATGTTCTCATGGTCTGAAACTGGGTTTATATGATCTGGCTTATCATATTCACTCTTTGCCATTTTGTTTCTTGAGTCACAATAGGTCTTTGTCGCTGTGGCCTGCAGAACCAGTTAAGGTGAGCTTAGTTCGTATGGGATGAATATTGTCACATTCTTTTCTTTTAATTTGGAAATCACCCCCAATATATTTCTACTTATATACACTACGTCATGTTAAAGGGAATGTAAACTTAATTATATACATGCAAACTAATGAATATGAAATATAAGAATATTCCATTTAAGAAACACATGAGAAAAGGGTCTTAGTGTTTTATTCAATAAAAAAAAAATATATGATTTCCTTGTTTACAATACTTCACCAAGATTCACAGAGCAGCTTTTATGTGACAGGCATTGTAGAAGATGTCACTTGGTTTTTGCCTATCCGTCTGCACCCCAAAAATCTATTCTCAAAGGACTAAATTTGCCACCAAGATGATATTGATAAGAATGTTCCCAAAGTTCTGAAGACAATTTCCAAAGATGATACTCCAATTTGGTTTATTTTAGGCAAAGAAGGCATCATGAGAAGATGTCTTGTCTTTACCCTCATTTTGAATCATATTTAAAATGCACTAGACAGACGCCTATCTGAAACATTTCATATAATGAATTTCCTTTAAAATATTGAGGCTTTAATTTATTCTATAGAACAATCTAGATTTCCACATAGGCTTTTAAACCATGGGTTTACTTGCATTGATTATCCCTACAACTAAAGGCATACAGAGCTAATTAGAGCTGCCTTATTAGCTAATTCAGTGCCCTCCATGTTCAGCTTAGCCTTTGACCCTTTCCTTTGATCCACAACTATGTTGAAACTCTGAATTCGCATGCAATGCCATTTTAAAGTCAGTTGATTTTAGCTATAATGTGCTTGACCAGTAATGTTTTTGTAATTTTGTCTATGTCCCTCCACTTCACCCCTGACTTCAGACATGGGATCAGGAGGCTGAGGTTTGCTATTAACAAATGTCATAAATATTTCATAGAAGTATGTTGCCAATAGCTATTCAAATGTTGTATGTTGGCCAGAGGGATTTTATATCTGAAGAACATACACTATTAATAAATACTTAGAGAAAAATTTTGACCTGGTTTTAGATAAAACTGTGGCAAGAAAAATGTAACAAGCAATATATGGAAATAAACACACCTTTGTTATACTTTCTAAACTTGTTTTTAATAAAGTTTAATAGTCATACAATTGTAAATCACTATGGTTAACGCAAAGTGAAAATATTTTCATGCAGATGACGTGAACAGCCATGTGAATAGGTGACATGGCACACAGCAGGGTCATGTGACTCCAGAAAACTTTGCTTTTCAGTTATTCCATTATTATAAATCCAACCTTTTAAGACATTGATATTTAGAGGTCTCACTAATAAAATCTGAATATCTTTGATGGAAGAGGTTTTTTATCACACACCTGAAGTCTTTGTAATGTTTATGCTTAAATTCTAAATTTTCACCTTAGAGACACACAAGGTTTGGTTGTAGGCAACAAGTCTCAGGTGTGAGGGAAATTGATTCACAACAGCGATGGGAAAAGGTGAAGGTACTTTTCAATGCTTTCACAATTTACCCATGACCAGACTTACACCTAGAAGTTTGATTTCACAAGTGTCCCAAAACTGAGATGCTAAAAAGGAAACAGTAAGTAGGTATCATAGGAAATTTACATGTATCATCTAATAAACAAACTTGCAAATTCCAAATCTTTTTTTTTTTTTTTTGAGACAGAGTTTCACTCTGCTGGAGTACTCAGGCTGGAGTACAGTAGCTTGATCTCAGCTCATTGCAGCCTCTGCCTGCTGGGTTCAAGTGACTCTCCTCCCTCAGCCTCCCGAGTAGTTGGGATTACACGGGCTCGCCACCATGCCCAGCTAATTTTTTGTGTTTTTAACAGAGGCAGGATTTCACCATGTTGACTAGGCTGATCTGGAACTCGCGACCTCAAGTGATCTGCCCGCCTCAGCCTCCCAAAGTGCTGGGATTACAGGCATGAGCCACCACGCCCAGCCTCAAATTCTAAATCTTAAAGCACTCTGCAAACGAAGCACATGAGTTTCTGCTTGCTTCAGGGATATAACATGGTATAGAACTGTTTCACATAATAATCAGCTTTGGTGATTTTCCAGTGTAGAAAACATTATATTTGACTCTTGGACAACAAAGAGATTATATTGAAGGAATTTCATTGAGGGTATCATGAATAAAAGCTGAAGTCAAAATTAAAATATATTAAAAAATTCAGAGGCTGGAATATGCAAATGTAAACTCCAAACAATGTGGCTGGGATTCATAAACATCTACTTTATGCAAGATACTGTGCTATTCCAGGCACTCCTATGGCATTTAAAGTACAATTCTTACCTTCCCTAAGTTTTCAACCTAATAGAGGACAATAGGCTATACATGAATAATATAACCTAAAGTAGAATGTTTTTACAGCCATAGAGGGCAAAGGGCTAGGAATTCACAGGAAGCAGCAATTAGCTGAGAGCGTAATGAAAGCTTGTGGAAAAGATAATATTTGATGGCCAGAGACAAATTTCTTGTTTTGGTATGTTTGGAGTGTTATACATATATATAAAATATTTTGATTACAAAAAACTCACTATAGAAAATTTATAAAATACACAAAAGTATTTAGTATAACATTAATCATCCTATCAAATATTAAATAATATTAACATTTTGAAATATTTATTTGTCTTTTCCTTCATATATTGATGGTTTTTATTTTTAAATGTAGTAACAAAACCCTTTGAAATTAGGTTTTTATGTATTTTTGTATCTTGTTCTAATGGCTTGGACTAACCTATTAAGAACACTCTCAAATACTGCTAAGGCCAATTTGAAAACATATTTTGAATGGTTGCATAATTTATTTAACTTTTCTGTTCTGGAAAAGATTTCTGCTGTTTCTAGTATTTTTTTTCTGCTACAAATAATATGTCATGAGCATTCTCTTTTTTTAAAAATAAACTATATCCTTTGATTAAATTTCTAGAAGTGAGATTATTTGGTCAAAAAGTCTACACATTTTTAAAAGTTGTTAATAATGTAAAATAAAAAAAATACAGCTTAAATTTACGTAAAGAGAGACTTTATTCAGAAGGATTATTGCCATAAGGGGAAGGTGATTCCGGCAATAGGAAGAAGGCTCTGAGATCTATGAGATCTACAGCTCAGAGGCCAGACACAAATAGGCTTTCATTACAGAGAGAAGTAAATAAGAACTGGGTGCAGGGGATGGGATGAGTGACAGGTATAATGGGACAGTTGACCAGCAAACACTGTTCCCTGAGTTCAGCCAGTTCTCTGGAGGAGGCGCCTTTAACCTTAACATGGTTCCATGTTCCAATGCCCAGAGTGGGCCAAAGTTTAGGTGCCTGGGCAAAGGGGCAAAGCTTACTAAACTTTGGTCAAGTCAAGTTAGTTTGCATTTTGCCCGGATTGAACAGTTCAAAAAACACTTCAGTTAATATTTATAAGACAAAAAAAGTGGGAATTTGGAAGGTCTGTACCTGGTCATAACCTAGGTAAACAAGAAAGATTTTAAGTCATAAAAGAAAGCGTGATTCCTTATAGCAAGCCATTTCCCAGAACAAAAGGAAGGGAGGATTTTTTTTTTAACTGTACTTCAAGTTCTGGGGTACATGTGCAGAACATGCAGGCTTGTTACACAGGTATACACATGCCACGGTGGTTGGCTGCATCCATCACCCCGCCATCTACATTAGGTATTCCACTATATCAGGAGGGAGCATTTTTAAAGTGCCTTTCATTGGTTCCAGAGGATGAAAGCCAGAGTTGTTAGCAATTCATTGATGGAGATGCTGTTAGTAGGCAAGTGTTCTTTTGAGAACATCTTATCTGAATTATCACAGTCCTAGAGAATGTCTAGTTATAAACCAAAGGGTTTTTAGAAAGTTCTTGGAAATAGTTCTTATCCCAGATATATAAGAGCATGAGTATCCTCTTTGTCAGGCTTTACCAGCTCTATTTTGTCTGGGTCTGATGAAAGCAATTTCATCCTGGTATCTGCAACTTTCACAGCTAGCCAACGCTGACCATACATCCCACCTCCTCCCCACCATGACGCACCATTTCTTCTCCAAATGTCTACTGGACAGTGCAAGGTAAGGAGATACAAACCCTGTTTGGATGGTAAGTGTTAATCCAGTGAAATGAACATAGCAACACCCTGCTTTGCTGAATGCCTTAAAACTACTCTCTACACTTATTTCCCCTGCAGCAACCCCACAAAACATACCCACCGTCACTCATCTTGACTCTTTAGTGTCATAGCAATATTGTGGAATAGGAAAAAAAGTCTCTCCCCTCTTGGTGTAAATGAGTTACTTCAGGGAAGTTACTCAATGTCTTTGCTTGAGTTTCATTTATAAAACCAGGTTGTCTACTAGAATGTACCACAAAGGATTGTTAAAAGAAAGAAATAAGTTACAGCATGTTTTAATTATTTACTGATACATAACAACCACAAACTAACAGCTTAAAACAGCATACATTCATTATTTTATGGTTTCTGTGGGTCAAGAGTCCAGGCATGGTTCAGCCAGATTCTTTGCTTCAGAAGCTCTCACAGGGCTACAGTCAAGGTGTAGACAAGGGCTGGGTCATCTGAAAGCTCAACTAGAGAAGGCTCTGCTTCCACGCTGCCTAAGATTGCTAGCAAAACTCCATTTGTTGAGGGTGTTGGACTGACAGCCTCAGTTCTTTGCTAGCTGTTGTCTGGCAGCTCCCTCAGCTCCTTATCATATGGGCTTGTCCAGTGAACTACTAACTTCATTAAAGCATGGAAACTGAAAGTTTATTGCAGAAAGTAAGATAA